CCCGCCCCCTCCCAGTCTGGACTGAGCAGAGACAAGAGTTCATTGGTCATTGGAGGACTTGCGCCAGGGCTCTGTGGACTTTGCGGCGCTCCGGGTGGGAAGGGCCGGCAGTCTTCCAGAGCAGCCTGGAAGGCGACGAAAGGCCCACTCCCCCAGCAGACAAGGAAATTGTAAGCTCAGTAAGGAGCTTGCTCTCTAAAGTGGCATGGGAATTATGAGATAAATGGTGTGTTTCGCTGCTTAAAGGACCAGTATTAGAATTGTACTAATGAATGGAATGTCAGAATAAATTGTAAGTCTGGAGAGAGGCTCAGCAGTTAAGAGCACTGACTGTTCTTAGAGAGGACTAGGGTTTGGTTCCCAGCACCCACGTGGCAGCTAACAACCATTCCAGTTTCAGGGAATCCTTCCTCCTCTTCTGACCTCTGCAGGCATTGCATGACTTGGATGCACTTACATAGATGCAGGCAATGCTCTCATGCACATAAAATAAGAACAATAAAATGTTTTAAAATGAACGTTTAAAAAATAGTCTGGGCTCAAGAGACGCTTAGTGGTTAAGAGCCCTGGCTACTCTTGTAGAGTAGGTTTTGTTCACAGCACCCACATGACCTCTCACAACCACTTGTAACTCCAGTTCCAGGGGATCCCACACCTTCTGGTAATGCAGATGGCGCACCTACATACCTGCAGGCAAAACATATATGTAAAAATAAACCAAGAAAAAAAGGAAGAAATTTATATTTGGGAACCAAAATGAAACAGCATGATCTTAAAGTTTTAGAAAAAGTGATTTCTTTCTTAAGAAATCATTTTCCTTATGACGTAAAGTATCCACTTTGAGGCATTAAATTCTTCCATATATATATATTATTTTTTGTTGTTGTTGTTGTTTTTGAGACAGGGTGTCTCTGTAGCCCCAGCTGTCCTGGAACTCACTTTGTAGACCAGGCTGACCTTGAACTCACAGAGATCCGCCTGCCTCTGCCTACCAAGTGCTGGGATTAAAGGCTGTGCCACCATGCCTGGCTCTTACATAAATTTTATCAATGTAAAAGCACTGTTCTTATCTCAAAGGGAATAAAGGATAGTTTATTCTGGACCCAAATGAGAGCAGTCAATAGCTCCAGAAGCAGATTCAGGTCATCCCAAATTCCATGTTCCATTGAGGTAACAATTACAGAAACAGAACAAAAGTCATAAATCAACACACTTTTCAAATGGGGAACTCTGCTGAAAGCCTCAGATGCTATTTGA